TCCCAGGATCCCGGGATCATGACCTGAGCCAAAGGCAGACGATTAACGACTGAGCCCCCCAGGCACCCCCACAAGGAAATTTTAAAACAAAAAATGGTCAAAATTAAAAATTCACTAGGTGGGCTCAACAGTACAATGAAGATGACAGAGGAAAAAGTTAGTGAACTTGAAGACCAATTAATAGAAATTATCCAATCTGAAAAATAGAGGGGAAAAAAAGACTGAAAAAAAAATTGAACAAAGCCTTAGACTTGTGAGGTAACATCAAAAGATCTGATATTTGTGTCATCAAAGTCCTGGAATGAGAGGAAAAAGAGTGCTGGACAGAAAACATATTTGGAGAAACAGTAGCTGAAAATGTCTTAAATTTGGCAAAAGACAAAGATTCAAGAAGACCAGTAAACCCCAAAGAGAATAAACCAAAGAAATTCACACCCAGACACATCAAAATAAAACTGCTGAAATCTAAAGACAAAGTAAAAATCTCAAAAGCAGTCAGATGAGAACAACACATTACATATGGGGCAACAAGAATTTGACTACAGATTTCTTATCAGAAATCAAATTGACCAAAAGGCAGTGGAACATTTTTCAAGTGCTAAAAGAAAGTAATTGTCAACCCAGAATTCTATAACTAGTAAAAATCTCTTTCAAGAATAAACACAAAGTTGGGGTGCCTGGGTGGCTCAGTCAGTTAAGCATCTGACTCTTGATCTCAGCTCAGGTCTTGATCTCAGGGTGGTAAGTTCAACACCCTCACTCGGCTCCATGCTGGGCGTGGAGCCTACTTAAAAAAAAAAAAAAAATAGAAGCAGAAGAAAGTCAAAGTGAAATTCTCAGGTAAAAAAACCCAAAAACCAAAAACCCAACGAAGAGAATTTGTTTCCAGAAGATCTGCTCTAAAAGAAATGCTTTAAGCAAATTCTTCAGGTGGAAGGGAAATGATACCAGAGGGAACCTGAGACTTCAGGAATGAATAAACAGCAACAGAAATGTAAACATATGAGTAAATAACGAGAGTATTTTCTTCTCCTCTTAAGCTAGTATGTGTGATGTTTGAAAGCAAAGGCTTTCGATGTTTGTAGATGTAATATATATGACCAATACAACATAAGGTTGTAAAGGGATATTATACGGTGGGATGGTTTCAACATTTCACCTGAAGTGGTAAAATATTAATTCTAAGTACACCATGAAAAGCCAAGTATATATGCTGTAATCTCGAGAGTAACCACTAAAAAAACTATAGAGATCATCAAAAAAATCAATAGAAAAATTTAAAATACTAAAAAATATTCAAATAATCCAAAATACAAGAAAACAGAGAAAGCAAAAACAAATATTAGACAAATGCAAACAAACAATAATTGCATTAAGTGTAAATAGCCTAAGTATACTGAGTAAAAGACAGATTATGAGAATGGGTAAAAAAACAAGATCCATCTATTTACCGTCTATAAGAAACCCACTTTATTTATTTAAGGTTTTTCTGCGGGGGGGGAAGGGGCGGGGCAGAAGGAGAGGGAGAGAGAGAATCCCAAGCAGGCTCCACGCCAATGCAGAGCCCCACATGGAGCTTGATCTCACAATCCTGAGGTCATGACCTGAGCTGAAATCAAGCGGACACTCAACCGACTGAGCCACCCAGGCGCCCCAGATTTTATTTTCAAGCAATCTCTACACCCAACGTGGGGCTTGAACTCACAACCCCAAGATCAAGAGCCTCATGCTACACTGACTGAGCCAGCCAGGTGCCCCAAGAAACCCACTTTAAATATAAGTTAAAAGTAAAAGGATAGAAAATGACATACCACATAAACACTAACAAAAAAAACGGAGTAGCAGTATTCGTATCAGACAAAGTAGGCTTCAAAGCAAGGAAAATTACCAGAAATAACAAGGGTCATTACATAATGATAGAAGGGTCAATTCATTAGGAAGGCATAACAATCTTAAATGTGTATGCATCCACCTAACAAAAGAGCCTCAAAGTAAATGAAGCAAAAACTAATAGAACTGAAAGAAGAAACAAATCCACAATTACCGAAAGAGACTTCTATACTCTATTGGTAAACAAGAGAACAAGGAGACAAAAAATCAGCCAGGATATAGAAGAACTGAACAACACTATTAGCCAAATGACTCAAATTGACATTTATAGAACACTCCACACAAAAACAGCAGAATATATTCTTTTAAAGTGCACATGGGAAATTCACTAAAACAGAACATATCAAACCTTAATAAATTTAGAAGAACTGAGATGATACAAAGTATGTTCTCTGACCATAAATGGAATTTAAAGCAGAAAACATTAACAGAAAAACAACTGAAAAATATCCAAGTACCTAGAAATTAAAACACTTCTCAGTAATTCATGAGCCAAAGACTAAGCCTCAAGGGAAATTAGAAAATATTTTGAACTGAAAGAAAATAAGCAGTATGTCAAAATTGATGGGGTCCTGCATATAGAAGGAAATTTATAGCATTAAATCCTTGTATTGGAAAGAAGGGTCTCAAGTCAACAATCCAAATTTCCACTTAAAGAAACTAGAAAATGAGCAAAGTAAGTCAAAGCAAACATCAGAAAAGATACGTCACTAAAACTGGAAGAAAATAGGGAAAAAAAAATCAACAAAACCAAAATTCAGTTTTTTGAAATGATAATAAATATGATAGTGATAAACCTCTAACCAAACAGACCAAGGAAAAAAGACAAAGGGCACAGAATATCAACATCAGGAATGAAAGAGGAGCTATCACTACAAATCCCACAGATAAACTCACTCAAGAAGAAAGAACATGAACAGTTCTGCAACTATTAAAGAAATGAAAATCTTAGTTAAAAACCTTCTGAAAAAAAATTCCTAAGGTACAGTCCTGGAATTATTTCAAATAGGAACCATTTTATTGGATTCACAGAGGAAAAACTCTATATAGAGACTCTTCCTCTTCTAATACACACTTACATTTTGTAATTCAAAAGCCTAGGTAACTTACTATAAAACAAAGAAATTTCCATTGATAGTAATAGAAATGAATACATACTGTGTTGTACTCAACTCAATTTTTGTCAGTATTTCTTGATCTCTCATTAATGTGGTCATTATGGCCACTCCTAAAGGATCTTTGATACTACTTTGTATTTACGTTTATTATTAACAATACAAGAAGTCAAGACAATCACTTGGCTAAGTACTCAATAACATACTTACTAATGGTTAAATCCTACAAAGCGGGGTACCTCACTTCAAAGAGTTGAAGTGATCCTTAAAAGCTGTGTAAAAATCAAGTACCTACTATTTAGATAATATAATGAAAAGTTCTAGAAATATATATGAGATTGAACCATATGAAATTGCCAATTATCAACTGGTTTAACCCAGAACAGTATAAGTATTCCTTGTATGAGTCAGTGTTTTAAAAAGTGCTAGTCACTTCTATTGGAATGGCATTATAATGAATTACCTTGAATGTTGGGGACTGAAGTTCATTCAACATTTAACAAACATATTCTGGGTATTTTTCATAACAAAGGTTATTTGCAAATCTAGGATATGAACATGTACTAGGAAAGGAGTACTTTACATGGCTATAGAACCTTTGTTTTCCTTTTCATGAGTCTGCTATTTTTTTTTGACAGTAGGAAATAGCTTTATTTTTTATTATGTTCAATTTGCGTTTTTAATTCTTAAAAAAACATAAGCCCTGTTATCTGAAGCATGGATTCACTATAGAGTAAGGATTAAGATCCATCAAGGTTCAAAATATTAGAAACAGAATGCAACAATATTTCTAAGATCACAACATTCCTTTGCTCAAAACTCTTCAATATCTCATCTCACGGTGTCAAAAGTCCTTACTATGGTCTATAGCATTTCCTGCTAGTCTCATCCCTCCTCTGCTCCACCCTGGGCTTCTGGCAGTTCTTCAAACACCAAAGTACACTCCCTCTTCAGCGCCTTTATACTAACTTCCTTGGCCAGGAATGCTCCTCAAAAGATATCCACGATGGCTTACCTCCTCATCTCCTTCAGATGTCTGTGTTAACTGTCATCTCAAAACAGCCTTTTCTGATCCATATATTAAAACAGTACCCCCTACTACAAGCCATTGTAATTTTTTTTCTTGTTTATGGTCTGCCTTCCCCTAATAGAATACCAACTACAAGGAAGAGAGTCCTTTGTTTTATTCATTGCTATATCCGCAGAGTCTTGAACAGTAGCAGGCTCTCAATAAGAATCTGCTGAACAAGATGCTGCACAAAGACTGCATATATGTTTCCAACTAAAACTTCTGACACAGATACAAAAAAAAAAAAAAAAAAGGCTAAGAGAACAGTTCGGAACCCGGCCGGCTCTGCTACTTAGAATGAAACAACTACCCTTTGGAAGGAAGTATTTTCAGTAATATATACCAACGAATGGCTGGATTCCCTAAAGACGAAGCATTAACGTTAAATGCACGCGTCCTGCAAGTCTCTGTTAGTACAGAATACTTTCCTTTATCACACAAGATTTTCACTAAGTCATTTTCCCATGAACCAAGAAATTCTGGGTAAAGATACTTAGGGAAAAATAGAAGTGGGAGTTAACCTACTGATATACAAGAATTAGGAAATACAGAACATACGAATCCAAACCTCACAGCAGAGAAAAATACCAGAAAAAGGAATTGGAGGGTTTGCCCCCTTAGAGACACTAAGAGAGAAAAAGTCCGAGACAGACTGCACCCCTTTCCTTGGCGCCAGGGATGGTACGAACACTCAGTCCGGGGGTGCAAAGCCTGAGTGTCCCCCGCAAGGGGCTTCGGAGGGCGAGGCCCGGACTCTGAGTGGGATGGGAGTGGTGGATCCCGTTCACTCTCCTCTCCCAACGATTTTCGCTCAGGAGCAAAGGTAGTGCTGACTGAGCCTACCCGCTCCCAAAAAGGCTTGGGGGAGGGTTGATGAGGGTAGACCCCTCCCCTTCCCCAAGGATTGTCCAGGCCCCCGCAGGAGCCCAGTCTCCCGCTCACCCGGCTCCCGGTTGATCTCGATGTCGAAATGGCACTGCGGCCGGTCCTGTGCCCCCATCGCGACCGAGGCGGCGACAAGAGCTAGGAGAAAGGGGGAGGAAAACGGTCAGGGCGGGAGCTAGGGCGGGGGCTGGGGCGGAGCCCGCGCCACGGTCGCCTCGCGCCGGCCTGTCGCGACACCACGGGAGGCCAAGCCGGGGTTCCCTCCAGCCCCGGGCCTCCCGACTCCCAAGTAGCGCGCACACACATGCGGGCGAGCTCTTTACCTGGTTGGCCTCCAGCCTGAGCAGCTCTCTGTGAGCGGAGGAGAATATGCTGCCACGGCGGCGGCCGGAGCCCAACGCCACTAACGGACCACCACCCCCTCCCCCGGGCCGGCCTCCCAGTGCCACGCTAAACCCCGCGAGAGTCGGGACAAATACCGCGAGAGCACAGGCTCGAAGGGGGTGTTTAACCGAAGGGTGCGCGCGCACGTGGGCGTGTCCGACGCTCCTATACCTGAGCTAGTCTTTTTGCCCCGCCCCTTCCGCCCCCCCGCCCGCAAGGGGCAGTCCGCCCAATCTGGGAGCCCTGATCACGCCTGCACTCTGAGTTTCCTCTCGTCCTCCCTTAAGATCCGTGAGTGCCCGCGCGTTTTCCGGCATCGCGATGCTTCCATGTTGTCTACGCCTCTGAGTAAGCTGCAAGACCTGAAGTCGAGGTTTAGTGAACGGACGGATCTTTTGGCCTGTTTTCCTTTTCTCAAGGCGTAGTTACGACACTCTCATCCTGTTAGACTGTTTCACTTCAAAGGCCTTAGGTGTGCGTCCGTTCCATCTTTGGCATCAGCGTCGCAGGGATAGTCTTTGTTCATGGCCATTCATCTTTTGCGAAGAGTCAGTTCAAGACCTTTGCCCATGTTTTATTCGTGTTCGTCTTATTATTGAATGCGGGAGTTCCGAGTACAAATGTTTTGTTAAACAGGTGATATGTGTATGTTCTAAATACAAATCTTTTGTTATATATAATTCCGAGTATTTTCTCCTGAGCTGGGTCGTTTCATTGTTTTGATGGTGGTTTGTGCAAAGCAGTTTTTAATTTTAGTGAAGTTACTTGATCAGTTTTCTCGTATGGTTTGTGCTTTTTCTGTGCTAAGAAATCTCTGCTTACCCCAAACTCCTGAAGATTTTCTCCTGTGTTTTCCTCTAGAACTTTTACGTGTAAGTCTAAGATATATTGGAATTTTTCATTGTGGTGTCAGGTAGAGGTTGCGGTTCGTTTTGGTTTTTGGTTTTTCCCCCTATGGAAACAGAGTAGTTTCACCACCATTTGTTAAAAAAAACTTGCCTTTGTCAGTTGAATTACCTTGGCTTTGTGTGGTTCTGTTTCTGAACTCTAAATTTTGTTAACTCTTCTGTGTATCTTTATGCTAGGGCTACACTGTTTTGTTTTTTGTTTTTAAATTATTTACTTAAAACTAAAATACACACTTTTTAATTATTTTATTATCAAAATTATCATTTAACTCTTTTTAAGTGTATAGTTCAGAGGCAGTAAGTACATTTCACATTGTTGTGCAGTCATCACCACCATGTAGCCACTGAACATTTTTCATCTTGGAAAACTGAAACTCTATCCATTAAACAATAACTCTGCATTCTTTCTACCCAGCCTCAGGCAACCACTCTACTTTTTTTTTTTTTTTTTAGTTTATTGTGGTAAGAACACTTAATGTGAGATCTATCCTCTTAACAGATTTTTTTTAAGATTTTATTTATTTATTTGAGAGCGAGCAAGTGAGTGGGGGGAGGAGTAGATAGAGAGGGACAAGCAGACTCCTCGCTGCGCGGGGAGCCTGCATGGGGCTGGGGGCTGGATCCCACAACCCCAAGATCTTGACCTTAGCCAAAATCAAGAGTTGGACACAACCCACTGAGCCACCCAGCCCCGCCCCTTAACAGATTTTCAAGTGTACAATATGGTATTGTTATCAATAGGCACAATGTTGTAGAGCAGATTTCTAGGATTTATTCATCTTACATAGGTGAAATTTTATAACCATTGATAGCAACTACTTTCACCCTTTTCCCATCCCCTGGCAAACACTCTTTTATTCTTTGCTTCTATAAGTTCAGCTGTTTTAGTTACCACATATTAAATGGAATCATGCAGTATGTGTCCTTCAGTGACTGACTTGTTTCACTTAGCATAATGTTCTCAAGTTTCATTGATGTTCTCACATATTGCAGGATTTCCTTCCTTTTTTAAGGCTAAATAATACTCCATTGTATGACTATACCATAATTTCTTTATCTGTTCATCAGCAGATGGACACTTGGGTTGCTTCCATCATTTGGCTATTGTGAATAATGCTGCTGTGAAGATGAGTGTACAAATATCTCTTTGAGATCCTGCTTTCAATTCCTTTGGGCATATACCCAGAAGTGGAATTGCTAGGTCATAAGCTAATTCTGTTTTAAATTTCTGGGTTGTTTTTTTTTTAAGATTTTATTTTTTTGAGAATGAGAGAGAGAGAACACAGGAGCAGGGGCAGAGGGAGAGGGAGTTGGAGAAGCGGAGTCTGCTGCTGAGCAGGGAGCCTGCCTTGGGGCTTAATCCCAGGACCCTGAGATCATGACCTGAGCCAAAGGCAGGCGCTTACTGAGGCACCCAGGTGCCCCAAGCTAATTCTGTTTTTATGGGGAACTGCCGTTCTGTTTTCCATAGTGACTGCACTATTGTACATTTCCATCAGCATTGCACAAGGCTTTCAGTTTCTCAGCTTCCTCACCAACACTTGTTATTTTCTGTTGTTCTTGTTTTTTTTTTAATAATTGCCATCCTAATGAGTGTGAAGTAGCACAGTGTTTTGATTACTGTAGCTTTATAGTAAATTTAAAAATCAAGGTCCCTTAGTTTCTAATCTGTTTTTGCACCTGTGCCACCTTGTGAAGTGCAGAGACCTGCACTGTCATGGAAGTGCTATCCCTGTTGGAGGTTGCCAGTTCTACCTCCCTAAAAGTATGGTATCTCTATCAGAGCAACAATCTCCTGGGTTTCACATTTGTAACCTAGGCTGAATTGAGAAGCTAGTGGTCCTGGGTCTGATTTTGCTTACACTGTTACAGCTAACCATTTATAGGTTTGGAAAAGATGAAATGTACATGCCTATTCAGAGACGAAATGGGTTGGTAAAGCTAACTTTCATACAAAGACTTGTGAAAGGAAAAGAAGGGGAGCATTGCCCAGGGAAGTAATTTGTAATTACTGTGCTTTGGGCAGCTGGCTTCAGTGTAAGTTGGCTTTAGGGCTCTGGAATGAAATGCTTAATTTGGGGAGTATTTAAAATACTTTAAATCTCCTGAAATTCGTTCTTATCTTGACACTCCCCTAAAGTTTCTTTCCTGCCACTGATTATGTGATGTGGGGCAAATCACTTTGATCCTGGAATTCAGTTTCTTTGTCTGCAAAATAAGCAGGACGAAATACCTTCTAAGTTCCCTCCTTGCTCAAAATTCTTTTATTCTGTCCTGTGAGTTGAAATTATATTTCAGATGATTTGAGGATAAGGTATGCTATTTGGTCTGTGGTTAAGGTGAAGAAACTACTGGGACAAGGCAGGCCTAGAGCTAACATCCACCAAAAGGATTGATACCTCCTCCCTCATCATCAAGAGTAGTAGAAAATTAATATCCAAGCAGTTTACAAACTCAGGCTTAATTTGGAGAACCCTTAGTAGTAGGAATTTTCAGGTAATGATTTAGAGTGGGATTATACCAGCAGTTGGCACTTCAATGGATAGGGCTCTGGCAAAACTAATCAGGAATGGTAGTGGGGAAATATAGATGAAACATAATTTTTTAGAAAATAGAAATTACCAAAATTGACTCAAAGAAATGGAAGGCCTGAATAAACTAGCAACCATTGAAGAAATTGAATTAGTAATCCCTAATCTCCTTCCAAACAACTGTGAAGGACATTTTGCCATAACCAGATGGGAAATTTGATAATGGTCTAAATATTAGGTGAAATCAAGGAAATATACTTAATTTTGTTAGATATCTAATGAAGATAAAGATAATGAAATTTTGGTTATGCAAGAAAATGTTCTTAGTTTTTTAGTGAAGTGAAACAAATGTGGCAAAATCTTGATAATTGTTATATCTAGCTGAGAGGTATTGGGGATTTTTGAGCTGTGCTCTCTATTTTTATATTTCTTTGAAATTACTCTTAATAAAACCAGTAAGAACAAACATAGCCTTTCCAAAAACACAAGTTCCACATTGTTTCATAGGCACATTTTACCAGACCCTTAAGGATCAATAATCTTTTCTCAATCAAAATATTTTAGAAAATGGAAAAAGACAGCTACCTAACTTATCTTGTGATACCAATACCAAACAAAGATAGGGCAAGAAAGTTAGAGACCAATCTCATTATAAACATGGATTTAAAAATCCAAATAAAATATTGGGAAATGGAGTTTAGCAGCATTTAAATTCCAAAATGTTCATGACCTAGTTGGCTTTAATTCAGGAATACAAAGATGGTTCGACATCAGAGAATCTATTTCTATAGTTCACCATATTAACAGATTAAAGAAAAGGCATATGATTATCCCAATATATGGTGTATTGGTTATCTATGTATTGCCTCTCAGCTCCTTCAATATATCTTCTGTAATACACAGTTTAACCTCAAGCAGGGATCTGTACCAAATTAACTTTTACATTTGTACAACTTAGGGAGAAGACAAAAAAGGTAAACAAAAGGAGAGAAAAGGAATCCAGTGAGAAGATACCTATGCACACAGTTCTACCTTATTTGCTTACACCATTTTTTAAATAAAAGGATATCCTATATCTTAAATGGGAAATTGTAGAAAAGAATAGGTCCAAGACTGCTATCTTTAGAAAGACCTGCTTAAAAGGTTGGCCTGTGGGTGGAATCTGGGAACCTGTGTGGTAATCAATTTCCTACACTTATAGAAAACTTCAGTTAAACGATTAGAGTACTTCACTCTGCCTAAACTATTTGAGCAAACAATATGGTTTATACTGAACACCTGCTTTCCTTCTGGGAATCTGGAAACTTGGTATGTACTAGGCAGAGGATGCATACATATGTGACCATTCCCCAGTAAAAACTTTGGGCACTGAGTCTCTAATGAACTTCCCTGGTAGACATTTCTCAGATGCTATGATTCATCCTGGAGGAATTAAGCTCGTTCTGTGTGACTCCATTGGGAGGGGGAAGCTTGAACCTGGTTTCCTCTGGGCTTTACCCTATATGCCTTTTCCCTTTGCCGATTTGCTTCATGTTCTTTTGCTATTATAAATCATAGCTGTGAGTACAATTAAATGCTGAGTCCTGTGAGTCCTCCTAGCCAATCATCAAACCTGCAGGTAATCTTAGGACCTACAACACAGCAACAAAAATTACCAGAATTTGATA